GGAGAGACAAGGAGGGAGGGAAGGAAGGGGTCTTAGAACTCTGTTCAAAAGCATCGTAAGGCAGCATGTGCTTTGGAAAATACAGAAAATGAGAGAGAAGGGAGAATAATGCCCCGTGGCTGTTTGACATAGGATGTAATTTTAAAGCTTTATTGTGCACAATTAAAAATACAAACATACAGACACCATGGTTGGTACCCAGAAGTGTGAGTCAACACAAGTTTGGAAATGCATCATGGGTAAACATTACCATGGCCCCCAAATGGGGAAAGCACTATTGCACTATGCCAAATAAGCCTAATAGTCATTTCTTAGCTCATTATTTCTACTCCATTCTCTCCTCCCCTGGCATGCCACTTACATATTTATTTGTCTTCTCACCGAAGCCAATGTATCTCTTACATCTTTCTGTACATTTTGTCTTTCTCTCTCTTTGGATTACATTCTGAAATTTTTCTTCTAAGTTATCTTTCAGGCTATTAATACTCTTCAGCTCTATTGAATTTGCTAGTAACCTTATCTGCTGTGCTGAGTTTTTAATTTCTGCCATTATAGTTGTCAGCTTTAGATTTTTTCCCCTTGGTTATATTTCAGTGTTTACAGTTATCTGCTAAAGTTCTTGATTTTGTATTTTGTCTCCTTGGATATATTCAGCCTAGTGATTTTTAAGTGGTATCAGACAATGTTATGGTTTCTGTCTAGATGTTCCCTCAAAGCCTCATGTGGTCATAGGTGGAACTTTTCAGAGGTGGCTGAATCTAGGGTGTGTGATGCGGGGATTGCTTCATAGTGTGATGCTAGGATTAAGGGTGCCCTACCCTGGGTGTGAATGCTACCTGCCCTAAGGTTGGATAGCCTGGATAGGGTAAGAGGACAGAGAAAGGGTCTCTGCTTGCTGCTTGCTATTTCACTGCTTTGCTGCCTTCTTCCTGCCATGAACTGTTTCTCCTCTGTGATGCCCCTCTGCCATACTACCCTGCCTTGGAGCCAGGTAACTATGAACTGAAACCTCTACAAAGTGTGAGCCAATTAAACCTTTCTCCCTTTAACTTTGGCTGTCAGATATTTTTGTCTCAGCAATGAGAAAAGTAACTAAGATAGATAACTACATTATCTGGATCTTCTATAACTCTTTTTCTATTGTCTGTATTTTTCTTGATTTTTCAGGCATATTGTCTTTCTTTCTATCTTAGTCAGTTGGGGCTGTTGTAAAAATGTACCACAAACTGAGTGACTTAAACAACAAACATTTATTTCTCACAGTTCTGGAGTCTGGGAAGTCCAGGATCAAGGCTCTGGAAGATTTTTCATCTGGTGAGGGCCTGCTTCCTGATTCATAGATGACTGTTTTCTCTCTGTATCCTCACATAGGGGAAGGAAGGAGAGAAGGAAGGGAGCTCTCTGGGTTGCCTTTTATAAGGCACTAATCTCATTCATGAGGTTCCACCCTTATGACCTAATCACTTCCCAAAAACTCTACCTCCTAATGCCATGATATTGGGGGGTTAGGATTTTAGCATATGAATTGGGGGAGGAGAGACAAACATTAAGTTCATCACACATTTCATTGGATCTCGATTGAAAAGTGTGACTTGGCTTTAGTCTGATAACATTCCATAAGCAATAATTTAAAACTAAATAATAACTCTCTATTCTAAGATCTCATCAAGTTTAAACTGCACCATTGATTTAATTATAACTTTTCTAGGACCAAAAGTGAGCAAATATTATATAAAAAGTATACATGTGATTTGAGGAATGTCAGCTTATAAAAGGGCATACATCTGAGAGTTGTAGAAATACAAAAGTATCCCTCAGCCTCTGGCAGAGGTGTTTTTGTGTTCCAAGTTACTCATTAAGTATTCTATTAAAGTCTTCTCAGCTGAGGATGTAGCTCAGGGGTGCAGCACCTGGCTGGCGAGCACAAGGTCCTGAGTTTGATCCGGTATAAAAAACAAAATAAAACAAAACAAAAAACCCCCAAACCCAAAAATGTCTCCTCAATGAGAAAAGCAAATGATCTTCATTGTCCCAAATCTTTGCGTGACCTCTAAGGACTCAAGAACTACACAAAGTTCCTTCTATTTAAACCCACATTAAATGCTGTAGATATACAAGGAACAATCAAAGTGTACGTGAAAGCTTAAATTAAAAACAAATTATTACAATAAAAGACACAGACTTCAAACACTCTTCTCCCATCATTTTTGCCACTTTCTAAAGCAGTTCTGGAAGACCTCATTCATGAGTGTCTTTAAGAGTGCATTTGTGAAGCTGCATGCTGCTTCCCAGTGCCATTAAATGAAAAGGCAGGCTCATAAAAACATAATGGTGTGTCTTCATCCACCTTATTCACCAGATCGGCACTGTGTGACTTCTAGCTCTTCTCCAAATTCAAAATATCCATTAAAGGTAAATGGTTTAATCAGAACTTTGAGACAGCCATAACAGTGCAATTAAAGACACTCACAAAAGAGAACTTCTAGAACTGCTCCAGTAAGAGGCAAGAATGATGGGATAAGAGTGCTCAAAGCCAGGGGAAATATTGTGAGGGAGAGTAATGACAATGTATTTTTACTGTAATAAAAATTTTAAATTTAAACATTCACAATTTTTTTCATTCACACCTCATTCGATCCATAAGACCCTGTGTGTGGCAAATCATGGGGTGGAGGTCTAGCAGAATATGGAAGTGCTTCCTTTTATAGAAAGGAAAACCCAACTCTCGGGCTTACCTATCAAAACTATCTGTAGACAGGATTTCACATCTTTGTGTTCTCTAAGTATTTCAGAGCTGGCCTTAAATATCACCCAACCTTTCTTGGCCATGAACTTCAGCAAAGCTCAAACTAGATGAGGGATTAGTCTTGAATTATACCAAGCAAAGCCCTTTGATAAGCTAATTGGCTGCTAGAGCCAGGCAGTCCAATGGGGTAAGATCAAGTGAAGAACAAGCCACATTTCAGTGCCATTAGATTGTTGCTATACGGGCATACAGGCCCATAGTTTCCAAACCTGAATCATGTTAGAGGTTACATTTTTATGTGAAATTCTCCAATTTTATGTTGATAACTAATTCCAATTTTTAACAGTAAATTGCAGATAGAATGCACCATTTTTTTTCAGTACTGGGTGTTGAACCTAAGGTCTTTGTACTGAGCTATATCCCCAGCCCCTCTTTCTTTTTATTTTTCATTTTGAGTCAGGGTCCTGCTAAGCCACTAAGTTGCCCAGGCTAGGCTCAAACTTGCCATCTTCCTGCCTCAGGCTCCCAGAGCACAGGCATCACAGATGTAAACCACCAAACCTGGTTGAATACACCATGCTTTTGAGGTGCCTGCAGTCTCTGGGCTCCAATGGTTGCACTCTAGGCAATATGTTCAGAACAGAATGAATCTGTACTAAAAAAAGGGAAGCCCTCTTACAGAAGCAGCATGTACTACTTCCTCTGCCACTTCCTCCCACACCACAGTGGTATTCCTGAAAATACCAGCCCTGGGGTTTTCTGAGTCCACTTGCAGTATCCAAAAGTGCATTGTCCTCTTTTATACCACCTCAGTATTTTTAAACAGTTTTCTGAACAAAGTCCTTTTATTTTTCACTTAAACTAAGAGTTTTAGAGTCACCCATCGGGGTATTGCTCATATTACATAGCCCCAAAGCCCACAGAGTATTATCAGTCATCTTGCCACATGGTCTATGGACAATCTTAAAGTAAGTAGACAAGCCACTCATTTGGCTAATTGTAGCCATCTTTCCAAGTCGCCCAAAGGAAAGACATTTGCTGATTTTTAATTCTCAAATATTTTAGAATGGAGATTTCTTTTGTCAGAAGGCAAACAAACAAGTTGCTTGGAAGATAATTGGGACAGTTAGGGGAAGACAAGTGTGTTAAATGCATGATTGCATTACAGGGGGCAGATGTTTCCTAGGGATGAGCCTGTCTCTTAGAAGAAATGATTAAAAAGAAGCCAGGAGGCTGATAGAGTGATTGGTACCCAAATTCAGTAATTAAAGGTTGATTTCTTCAAGGGACTCATTCTCTTTCCTTTGGCAAGTCATATTCTGTACTGAGCCACAATCTATTTAAGAAAAATATGTTACCTATCTGATAGAATATTTCCAGACTGTATCTCAGATCCTGTTCAGTGCTCAGAATAGCTAGTTATGTCATTTCCAATTTAAGTGCTTGTCCAACAGGAGTTGAAGAATAGAAATGCCTTTGTAATGAATATTGAGGGTACAGATGGAAAGTTTTATTTGGAGATCAGGAGAAACTTGTTGTATTTCTGCAGCAAATGTATTTGTTATCCTCTAGTATTATCTTCTAGTTATTTTTAGTTTAAGCTTTCAGCATTCTTTATTTTCAGCAGAAATAATCTGTAATGACATTAAACAGCAACTTTACATTGCTCAAAATTGTTTTACATATATAAATGCCCACTGAGTCCAGCACTGTTTTGTTTTTGAAGATGAAATATAAAATCTTTATTTCATAACGCACTTTTGTTTCTTATCAGTTCTACTTTCTGGGTACAGCACAGATAGGAAACTGAATAGTCTGGTTTGATTGTCCAAGTGTTAGGGGATGAAGGTGGTAATACAACATCAAAAAACAATAACCTCTGTATTGTAACCTCTGTTTGTAAAGTCTAAGGGAAATACTTATTTTGTCCAGGCTTGCCCAGCTCCTACAGTTTGAGAGAGAAATGAATAAGACTATATGAGGGTCAGACTGGTATCAAATTTGTTTACTTTTAGAATGAAATATTTCTCAATTTAAGAATAAATCATAAAAACAAGGGGGAAGTACAGTTTTAACCCATGCATATTCTATTGAGATTTCTCTTGGTAATTCTTTGGAGCAGCACTGTAAGCAAGCTCTATATCACTGTATTTTTAATTTAATGAAATATGAAAAGATTCTATTCTAAAATTGGATGACTCAGATTTTCAACAGTTCTTTTTTTTCCTCCCTCTCTCTTACTTTTTACTTTTAGTTCTAGAAGAACGAAACTGTTCAGAGCTTGGAGGCCCAGTCAATGGATACAAGAAAATAACTGGAGGGCCTGGGCTTCTCAATGGGAACTATGCAAAAATCGGCACTGTTGTATCATTCTTTTGTAACAACTCCTATGTTCTTAGTGGCAATGAGAAAAGAATTTGCCAGCAAAATGGAGAGTGGTCAGGGAAACAGCCCATCTGCATAAAAGGTAACTTACCGACATACCTAGATTCTGCAGACAGAGATGGATTTGCTGTACTTACTAGTTGTTCTCATTCACGCTTTTAAGCCTCTGAAAAAAATATCTTTCTTAACTTCTCCCTGGAACCATATATAACTCTTTGGTTGGAACCTATCCCTAAAAATATTTGCTTCTTTTATCTGGATATAGGGAGGACTTGCTTACTTTATTCACAACATCTTGAGGGAAAAAAAGAGTGATATAGTTATCAACATTTTGAGGAAAATGACAGGGCTGAGTTTTGTGTGTTTTGTGCATATTCTATCCAAGGATGGAACTTATAAGCATTTACATAGCCACATTTATCCAGTATTAAGTTAGTGCAACAAATAAAAAACCAAATAGGCTCATCATCTCTGGCCGCTTATGTGAGAAGAGGTTAGTGATGTTAAAATGTTAAAAGAAAAAAAAAAGACAGCAAACCCTTGAATATTCAGGAGAGAGTTATAGGAACAAATGAGTAGTTCAGAAGAAGGGAGATCAACATTCCTGAAAGAGGGATAATTGCATGAAGCAGCTAGGATTGAGACCAGCCTGGAAAGCCAGGAAAGATTTGGAAATGTGAAAAGGTATAACCATGGTGTTCCAGGCGGTAGACAGAGGAGAAGATAAGAAGTGTGATAAAAGAAGACTGGTGAACTCATAGTGATGCAATCTAGGGAGCAAATTTTAAAATGTAGGTTGGAAGCAGAAAAGTGGAATGTTGTATGAACAGGCTAGAAGTGTTTCCATTACACCAGAGATGCATAGCTTCTTAACGAAATTTATTCACTAGTAGTTTCAGGTTAGCAGCTCCTCTATTTAGGGGGCAGATCACAATGATCTGGCTGTTTACTGGAAGAAAAGCATGTTCTCATCCTAGATTATCCAAATAATTGCTTCCATCCTCCACTTTCCCTTTGGGTGTTTGTCAACAACCTGGATCCTGGGAAAAGGAATGAAAGAGAATGATTTGTGAAAGGAATAAATCACTTTAGACTTTAGCCAGAAACGACTTTCATCCCTACCAGCAGAGATTCTGATGTTTTATTTCATTAAGTATGGGAATGGTGTCACATATGTCCTTGGAGTTTGTGTCAACTCTACTCTTACAAATTAATACAGCCAAAGTAGTCTAAGTTGCTAATTAGACAAATGTTGGCTGCTTGATTGGGAAAGTGAGATGGGAAGGATTCCTTTTCACTTGTGGAGAAAAAAAAAAAGACTTCAACAAAATTAAATGGGGCTTTGAGCTGTTCTCTAGCGACTGTTAGGGACCTTAATTGCAGAGAAAGGACCTGGAGAAACCAGTTACCAAGACTTATCTATGGTTGATACAGATGTCTGGTTTTAAAGGAGAACCTTCTAATTCCCTGTGTAGGCTCTATTTTAGAAACTTCAGTTTGGACTTTATTCCATTGTGATTAGGTTTGCTAATACCATTCACATGAGCAGATACTCCAATCCCATTAACTGCCACTGTCCCAAGTCACCTAGGCAGAGTAGCTTTTCAGACGCATCTACTGAGGTCTTTGGAGTTAACTGTCAATTTAGGTGAAAGGCAGGATGCTCATTTGCTAAGTGAACTGCTCAAGCTTGGCTGACATACCTTTCCCCTGAGACTGGGGAAATGAGCACCACGCATCCAGAAAGGTGGGTCTGGTATGAATCTGAACTTAGTGATGTGAACAGTGAATATGGAAAAGGACTATGCAGCCTTGTCTGTTTCTTTCTAGCCTGCCGAGAACCAAAGATCTCAGACCTGGTGAGAAGGAGGGTTCTTCCAATGCAAGTTCAATCAAGGTAAGGTAGAAACACCTGAACTTTGCTTTCAAGGGTAATGAATATTTCCCCTCCCTTTCCCTTTTCTCCACTTGTGTTTGGCCAAAGATGGTCTGGGGTTTCTTAGGGACATTGAATGCTAAATGATCATGAAAGAATAGAGCTTGTTAGATTGAGGCTCATTAGCCAGATGCCTGTGGCCAAGAGGTAGCAACTGTTGGAATATGTACAAATTTTATTGGATCGTGGGAAAGTAGGTGGCTGGTGAGAAGCAAGACTTGCAGATGGTCTTTGAGGAACTGGATTTTAATAGCGAGTCTTCCTGAAATTATGATATATTTATTGTGGCAGCTACTGGGAGCTGTGATTCCTACTAAATGCACCCAGCTGTGGTTTAGGAAGATGTTCTTGGTGGTAACCACCTAGATGAGGCAGGCTGATGGAGCCCAGAAACTAGAAATAAGTCACAATTAGGGACTAGTATGCCTGCTTTTTCTCCTGGAAAGACATAGGTGAAGACCACCTGATGGGTAGATAGTAGTGGGCCCACTTCTACTCATCTCCTCTTCCACGTTCTTTTCCCTTCTTTCCCTCCACTCCAGTAATACAAGCATCCTTTGTTTTCCTCTATCACTCCAAGTGCAACTCTGCTTTTGAAATTTACATTTGTGGCTTCTTCTGTCTGGAACCTGCTTCCACTGGATATCATCAAGGCTTAGTGAGGCTATACAGCTCAGTTCTCTGCTCCATTTTCATCTGGGAGTAAGACCTTCCACAACTATCCCTTTACCAGGCTAACTCCTTTACCCTGTGTTCTCTGCCCTTTACTATTTTTCAATTTTTCTCTGTTCATCTTAGCATCCCTCTCCACCTGTTCTCTCTCTCTCTCTCTCTCTGCCTCTCTCTCTCTCCTCCCCTTCTGTCTCTCCCTTTCTCATATATATCTATATCATCTACAACTACATCTACCTGCATTGGCCACCTTTACATCACCAGGACAAAATACCTGAAACTCTGGCTGAAAGGAGGAGAGTGCTCATGGTTTCACAGGTTAAACCCATGGCTGGATTGCTGCAAGGCAAGGCAGAGATATCATGATGGAAAAAACTGCTGAACCCATGACATCCAGGAAGCAGCAGATTGGAAAGAACCAGAGAGAAGGGGCCAGAACCACATTTAGTTCCCAAGGCCATTCCTCCATGACCCCGCCTCCTAATAACCCATTCACCTATGACCTCATGATCCAATCACCTCTCCAAGAGTCTCTTAATCCAGTCAAGCTGATAATCAGCATTAATTGGCACACTCCCCACCACCCCAAATGTAAAAGTAACATGTATAGGAACATTATGTGCCCTATTCATGCTGAAGTGCTAGTGCCTGAAAAGGTTCCTGTCATTTAGAAGACACTCCATAAATGTCTATGGAATGAATGAATTGGATTGGAAATCAAGGTTTCTTGTACTCTCTTAAATCTTGGGTATTCTTAGACAAGTTCTTAAACTTGCCGAGCCTTAGTTTCCTCTTTTGAAAAATAGAGGTAATCATAACAGTTTCTGGGGATTATGCAACTCTAACATCTGCTACATGTTTGCTATATGCCAGTTGCTCTTTTGAGTACTTACACTTATTAGTTCATTTAACCCTCATTGTAACCTACGAGACAGGTATTATTATTCACTTTTTATGGCCATGTTCATTATATGGGTAAACTGAGGCTCAGAGAAGTTAAGTAACTTGTCCCAGGTACATTGCTAGAAGTGGCAAGGCTAGGATGTAAATTCAGTCTCTGGCTTCAAGGTCTGTGCCCTTATGTACTAGATTTAGCACCTTATGTGAAACACCTTCACATGGCACCTTGCACATACAATCACCTATCAGTGGCAGCTACTGTTAGAATCAGTCACAGTGAGTCCCCATGACTAGCACATATGTCTAAGTGAGCATATCTGTTAATCTCTCACCCCTCCTTGGGTTCTCTCACTTGTTTTTATTTTCTCCTTTTCAAGCAAGGCATTTTCTTGGGAATGGTGGTAGTAAAATACAAACTCTGCCCCTCTTCTGATTGTTGTGATTTCCCTGGGCTGGCCTCTCCTAACGTGGAATCCACCTGTTCTTCCTAAGGAGATACCTTATAGGGAAACCTTGAATTATTAAAAAAGGACACCAAGCTTCTTATTTTAAAGGCAATCCTAATGTGAGAATACATGGCCATGTAGCAGATATCTCAGGTAAAGGAGAAAGCAAGCCTAAAATGTGTTTTTAAATATCTTCCTGGAAGATCTGCTGTGGAAGTGGGATATGTCTATCCCCAGTGGCCGGGCTTACCTGGAAGCCACCAAATACTGTGTAGACCTTCAGTGGCCAACTGATGAGTCTTTTTTGCAAGTTCAAAAGCACCTAAAATTACAGAACTGGGTATAAAAAAGATACGAATATTTGTTGAGTGCAATCACTATGGTTGGAATATTTGCTCTGAGCCAAGCACTTTAGGAATACATGAAATAGATTTCTTACAACAATATCAAATTGGCGTGGTGGAGATTCCACAATGGAAATCATGACTGCTAAGCACTGTCTTGGGTCCCCTCTTCCTTGGCTGTGTGGCCCTGGGAGCTCCCACTTTCTTCTCTGGGCTTCTTTTCCCTACCCATTAAACAAATATGAAGACCCATTGATTCCTAAAGGAATTCTAACTTTCCAGTTGGCAGTCATTATGAACCAGTATAAAATGAACACGAGTTTTACAACGTGTGCAAATCTCCCCCAAGACCCCTGAGTGGTCTCAGGGGACCCCAACTTCAAGGCTCATTTAATATCCCTTTTCCCGTTTATACACAATGCTTCATATTTCTCCCATCCAATGTGCCCTGAGAGGAAGGCCTTTTCTCTGAGATGAACTAATTACATCTGCTAATTGCTAAATCAAGCTACTGTATCAACACAGTTTAGTTCAAGTCAATTCGTAATATTGCCCCCATTATGATAATGTTTAGAGAAAAACTGTGCCTGAATCCTCTCATTCAAATTAACTCCCTTTTTAGTTTAACTTTGCACGTGAATGTGTGTGTGTGTGTGTGTGTGTGTAGTGTACCTTTGGATAGCAGCTATTATGTCAGATATTGTTCTCTGTGGTTAAAAATCCTAGGCAGATGGAAGCATGCCAGAAATGGAAATGGAGGACTAAAAAGATTGAGATGTGTGTAGAATTTGCAAGAGGTGAAGTGTGTGTGTGTATGTATGTGTGCATGCCCGCAAAGAGAGACACACACATACACAGAGACAGAGAAAGAGGCAGAGACAGACAGAGAGACAGAGTCAGAGAATGAGACAGCCATTTTTTTTCTTCTTCTGTAACCAAATGCCTACATGGAGATTGGCATGGATGCTAAAGAGGCCTCCATGACAGTTTTTTGTCCTGCTCTTTCTCTGGACCCATGTGCCCTGACCCAGGGAGACACCATTACACCAGCTCTACTCAACAGCCTTCAGCAAGCAGAAACTGCAGGATGCCCCTACCAAGAAGCTAGCACTCCCGTTTGGGGACCTGCCCACGGGGTACCAACATCTGCACACCCAGCTCCAGTATGAGTGCATCTCACCCTTCTACCGCCGCCTGGGCAGCAGCCGAAGGACGTGTCTGAGGACTGGGAAGTGGAGTGGGCGGGCGCCGACCTGCATTCCTAGTGAGTTGAGGCTGGTCTCTAAGCTGGAGTATCTTCTGTCTTCCAGGGCTGCTTGTGAAAACCTCTTAACCTTGTTGAAGACTTTTGGGGAAAATCTCGTTCAAAGCAATGGTCCTTCATCGCTTTCCCCAGTTTGGTGCTGTCTGAAATTCCATAGTTAGAGCTCTCCTTCTTTTGCTTCAACTTACCACCCAGGAAGAACTTACTCCTTAAATCTTAAAAGCCTATTTTCTTCTAGATAGTTTTATCACATTTACGTGGAGAAAAGGGAGGGAACAGTAATTAAACACCAAGTGGAAAAGGGTTTAAAGGTGCCAGAGGCCTTCTAGTTATGTTATTATGGTTAGTTACCCCAAGCTATTGCTTTCATAACCATCATTCAGTGCTATCAATGAGGTAACTGTTAATTAAGTAATGAGGCATTGGTTACCTTATATGGCTATAGTGATAATTACTGAGATAATAGGTAGAAACATCTGGAATAGGGATGTATACATACTCAGCTACATTGCCTGTCTTTCTTTGTGAAAGAATAGTATCATTGAATTTATTGTAGTCATATTTATGATGTTAATCTTCTAAAAACCCTATGAGACCATTATTATTCTATCCATTTTATAGGCAAGAAAACTGAGGCTGTAAGCGATAAAATACAACTCACCCTAAGTCCTATTGGTAGTAAATGCCTGAGGTCAGAAGCTACACTTCATTTGACTGCAAAGCCTCCAATATTAACTCCAGACTTTACAGCCAACCGTGTCTAGACTGGTTGCTTAATATTTAAAGAGAGAAGAAAACCAGGTTCCATGGCATAGTGCCTATCACAACCCTAGGTCCACCCTCCCAGATTTGTGCTCTCCTGGCTGAGTGACACATTCCCTTTTGGATGGGAAAGGTCTGAATTTATCTAACTGAACCAATGCTTTCTCCATAGTCTGTGGGAAAATTGAGAACACCACTTCTCCAAAGAGCCCAGTGAGCCGCTGGCCGTGGCAGGCAGCCATCTACAGGAGGACCAGCGGGGTGCAGGAGGGCAGCCTGCACAAGGGCACCTGGTTCCTGATCTGCAGCGGAGCCCTGGTGAACGAGCGCACCGTGGTGGCAGCTGCCCATTGTGTTACTGAGCTGGGGAAGGTCAACGTCATCAAGACGGCAGACCTCAAAGTCATCTTGGGAAAATTCTACCGGGATGATGACCAGGATGAGAAGACCATCCAGAGCTTACGGGTGAGACATGGCTCAACTTGAAAAGTGGGGCTCTGGCTTAGCCAGCTCCAAGCAGTGGAGAAGGGTGACAGCTCTGGCACCTTAGCATGTCAGTCGCTATTCCAGAGCCTGGCACCCAAAAGGAGCTCAGTGTTTTATATCGACAGATCCAGAAAGTGCCATTTAGAAGGATTGTGCAATCTTTTCTCCCTTTACCTGTTTAAAAAAATAAGACAGAGACAAATACCACTTATCGGTGTGGTCATCAGAAGTCAATCATCTCAGAGTAAAATATACTAATAGCATATATGATAAGTTATAACAAATTGAAAATTAGTGAAATTGTTTATTTAATGGCTCGCTCTGCTTGAAACCATCTGCTCTGTGAATGATGTGACTTGTCATTGTACTCTCATAGCCTGACACTGTGCCTAAATCATAGTAGGTTAATAAATATTTCTTGGATAACAAAAGGGTATTAATCACCTATTACATATGGAAACTGTCCAAGGTAGGCTTTGAAGGCATATCAAGGTTTTATGCAAGATTTTCCTAACCAATTTACAGCACACTTTTCTCTTTTCCTGCCCCCCACCTCATCTGTGCATCCATCCATCCATCCAGCCACCCATCCATCCATCCATGCATCCATTCATCTCAGTCCATCCATCTGTCCATCTATCCACTCCCCCACCCATCTGTTCATCCATTTATCCACTTCTTCACCTGTTCTTCCAACTCTCCAGCCATCTGGATAGTTAGAGCTCCCACAATGGAGCTCTAAAGGGAGTTGTTGAGCTCCCACAATGTGGCACTCACTGGAAATAGATACAATAAAGAATAACACATGACTGTTTTCTCTGAAAAGGTCACACCGACAGGGAGAGACCGATATGTCATGATCAGTACGACACAAGAGAAACCCCAAGGAAATGCGTTCAGATGCAATGGAAGTAATGGAACATATACATTAGAACTTATTTACACTTTGGGTTTCTCATATGAGAGAAATCATATGGTTTAAGCTTGTGTGCCTGATTATTTCACTTAAAATTATGGATTTGAGGTGCATTCATTTTCTTACAAGATCAAAATAAAATATAGACAATAGGAAATGGGGAGATAGATCTTTTGCAAATAGGAAGGGAACCAAGACATTCTGGGCAGGAGAGGAGAGAAGGGGAAATGAACATAAAAAGAATTAAGATATGTCATGTACATGTATCAACTACCCATAATGAACCTATTCATTGTGTACCACAAACGTGTAGAAAAGAAAAAAGAACTTACAGGAAAAAATTATAAGGTTTCACATATATGAGCTTTTAGAGTCCCCTGTCAAACAAAATAATCAGCAAGGCATTGGACAATAAGGGAAGACTATGGAGAAATGTTACGGAATGCTCTGGGAACATATTCATGGGAAACTGCTTATAGAATGTTCTCGTGGAACATGATGCTATCCTTCTGCTTGAAGGTACAGGAAATGCTTACTGTGGACCAGAGAATGCAAACTGGGAGCCCATAGGGGTTTGTGCTTTGGTGATGCTAACATATAATTTCTTAATCAGTTATTTACCAACATTAAAACTTTGAGGTGTTTCAGGTAAAGTTCTGGAGTCCATACTCTGGAAAAAGTAAATTATTGATTGCCTCCATTTCTGTATGGCAGTGGTGAGTGGACTGAAGTGGCTGCTGCCCACTTTAGGTGGATCGTACACTCCCATTCTCTTCAGCCTCTATGCCCTTATCTAATACTACCCGCAAGACCCTGGTAGACTTTTCAGTTTGCAACCCTGGAAGTAGAGCAAGTGCTTTCAAAGATTCCTTGAGCAAAGTACCTCTGAATGATTATAGTTGCCTCTTGGACAGTTTCTCCCAGTAAGTTAGCCCCAATGATTGCCTGTTCTTGTCCATTGTGGAGCTGGCTGATCCCCATTCTATCCATTCCTTGTCTTTGTAGATTTCTGCTATCATTCTGCATCCCAACTACGATCCCATACTGCTCGATGCTGACATTGCGATCCTGAAGCTCCTGGACAAGGCCCGCATCAGCACCCGTGTCCAGCCCATCTGCCTTGCTGCCACCCGGGACCTCAGTGTCTCCTTCCAGGAGTCCCACATCACTGTGGCTGGCTGGAACATCCTGGCAGATGTGAGGAGCCCTGGTTTCAAGAATGACACCCTGCGCTCAGGGACGGTCAGAGTGGTAGACTCACTGCTGTGTGAGGAGCAGCATGAAGACCATGATATCCCAGTAAGTGTCACTGACAACATGTTCTGTGCCAGCCAGGATCCCTCTACCCCTTCTAATATCTGCACTGCAGAGACAGGCGGCATCGCAGCTGTGTCTTTCCCAGGAAGAGCATCCCCTGAGCCACACTGGCATCTGGTGGGGCTGGTCAGCTGGAGCTATGACAAAACATGCAGCCATAGCATCTCCACAGCCTTCACCAAGGTGCTGCCTTTTAAAGACTGGATTGAGAGAAACATGAAGTGAGCCACTGCATGTCCACTGGGAAGCTTCCTTGTGGATCCATCCACACAGATACTGTGTGATGCGGTGTAAACCTGAAGTGTGATTTTGCCCACGAACTTGGCTACGCCAGGGCTTCTGATTTCAGGGACATAGCTCAGGGGAGGGTGAGAGGTGCTCAGTTTTTGGTAGGCTGCTGCCTTCCTCACTGCATAATCTGACCAGGTGCAAGATACCAGATCTGAGTTTCTTCAAAGAAGACAGTATGAATAGACAAAATCCTCCCATTCAGTTGACCTGGTGGCTCTTCCAGCCACTCAGAAATGTAACTGTCAGGTCCAGCTGTGGCTGAGAGAGGGTTGATCTAGGGGCACTCTGGGCTTCATGGGGCCTCTTTTGAGGCTCCAGCCAAACCAAGTTTCAAACAGCTACCTGTAGGACATTCCAAGGCAATGGAGCTTAGACAGTGCATGCTTTTGTGTATATTGCTACAGTGCAGTCTGGATCTTGTCCTTTCTGATCTCCTGTACACATTTTAATAAAACAAGGGTTGGCTTCTAACCTACAAAACCAATGTACTCTGCTCTCATTTCTGCTTGTTGTTTTTTTCTCTAAGCACCATGGATGGGGCAGATAGCTTGGTGATAGTCCTTTAACACAGAGACAAGGGTTATAATTTCCCAATAATGCATGTGACAGAGCAATGCTATCTTTTTAATACCAAGCCTTGGATCTTGGTAAGTTGTGGAATAGAGGAGGAGAGACATGGTTGCCATCAGATATGGCACAAACAGGAAAATATCAGGAATTTGCTGATTTCTTGTGTCCCCTGCCTGCTCATTTCCTAGATCTAGCATGAAAATCTGCTTTTGTCTTCAGCATGTTTTTATAGCAATTGCAGTCACATAGAAGGTATCATCAAAATGTGTTAATATTTAAATAAAAAACTTTTTATAGTAAAAGACACATTACCATGAGTCCCCCTCAAATACTCCCCCTTGCTTCAAACACATATATCCTATCCTTCTTTCTGATTTCTGAAGCAGTTCTTCAAGTCCTCTTTTGTGAGTCTTTACCAGGTGTGATCATAAATATGGTGGATGCTGTTGCCAAGTGACATCCAATGTAAAGACAGGCTCATAAAAACATTGTGGTGTGTTTTCATGTACCTTATTCAAAAGATCTGGCACTGTGTGACTTGTGGCTCTTCTCTAAAGTAGAAATGGCCATGAAAAGTAAACATTTTGAATCAATTCAGGACATTGAGGCAGCCATGGTAGCACATGTAAAGACACTCAAGAAAGAAGATGTTCAGAACTGATGTGTATTTGAAGCAAGGGGCACTATTCTGGGGGAGATTAATGGTTATCTGTCTTTTACTGTAATAAAATTTTGAAGAATTTAAATGCTCATTATATTTTATGATTACATCTTGTATTAAATCACACCAGATTTAGATGTGCCAAGATCCTATAGCTTCACTGTTTTCTGTAGCTTATGTCAGTTTTCTCCCAAGGTCAAATCCTGTCTCCCACTAAATAATGGAGGAAAACAATGAATTCAGTCCAGTCAAATGCCGTAAGTAACATTCTCTTTTTGAAGTGACTTCTTTTTTCATTATTTCTCCTCCTTCCAGTTTTGTTTTCAAAAAATGATGCCTTGGAGACCTGCACATTTTTAATCTATGATGGGGTCTCGTGACTTCAGGCTGGTTCTTGGGTGTGTGTCTTTCCCATTCTTTGGTGTTTTGCCAACATTTGGTGCTAGAGTCTGTAACTACTGTAACTTATGTTCTGTCTCTACTGCCATGAGGCTTGTAGTCCTTCCTGCTGACCTGACTTTTCCTCAGTTCTTGAGGGAGGCTGATGCTCCTGAGATCTAATGGTAACTCCTATTGACTCTGGTTTGGGTCACTCAACCTCATGGCCCCAGTGGTGACTTCTTTTGCTACTGCCCAGCTAGATTTTAGTGATCTACTCTTCCTTCCTTGGAGTTTATGGAAACTCCTGAGTCTTTTCCATACCACATGAAAGTCGAAAACCTGGGATTGTTACAAGGTATCCTGGGAGATCCTGGTCTCCTATAGACCCTAACAGGAACTTTACTGTTTCCTCAATCTACCTTCAACCTTAAGAACTGTAGCCCCAAAGTAGAAAGTGAGAACATATTTTTCTCCTAGCCTGCCTCCTCATCTTTATGTGTCTTTATGTAACTCTCTGACCCAGAAGAGAATTATTTCTACTCTCTCTATTTTGGTCAGGATTTCTGGGGGCTTTCCATATGTCATATCTTCCTTCTTTCACCCAACCCTACCCACCATCCTCATGGCTTAGAATCTAAAAGTAATGTATTAGTTATCAATTACTGGGTACCAGTTACCCAGCTCTTAGTGGCTTTAAATAATGAATGCTTACTTGCTCACAGTTTTGGTAGACTGGTAATTATAGAGTGCCTTAATCTGAGGTGGCAGTCAACTGAAGCCTTTGATGGAGGCTGAAGGATTTGAGTCTACAGATATTTATTTATCAGGTTACTTAGAGAGATTGTTTTAATACCAGAAAGCTTGGATCTCAAAAAGAGTAATGGAAGATGGATCCAAGAAACCTAAGTTTACATTCTTATCTGTCAATTTCTCTTCTTGGACTCGTTGGTTAGCCTCTATACCTCAGCTTCAGCAGGTGCTCTATTGGTATAGTAAGACCTTGGGATTTTCAGTGGTAGCTGTGATGATTAAATGAGACATTGTATAAAGAAACTAGCTTATCCGCAGTATTATTTTGGGGTCTTAAACGTCCCCTAAAGGCCTGTTTGTTAAGGGCGTGGATGCTAGCCTGTGATGCTATTGGGAGGGGGTGGAACCTTTGGGAGGCAGAGCCTAGTGGGAGAATGTTAGGTTATTGGGGGTGAGCCCTTGAGGGAGATACCAGGACTCTGGCTCTGCCTTTCTATTTGTCTGCCAGGTTCCATGAGATGAGTAGCTTCCTCCACCCACACTTCCACCATGATATACTGTGATGACACATTCCTGAGGCAACAGAGCTATTTGAAACCATGAGCCAAAGTAAATCTTTCCTCCTTATAAGTTGCTTACCTCAGAAATTTTGTCACAGTTCAGAAAGCTGACTAACACATGTGGATGGTGCATAGTCTGGTGCCTGTAACATCTGGCAGGGCTGGAGGCATCTACCTGAGCACAGATCCACAAAGCCTCCACGTCTGCCTCACTGGGCACTTCATATATGGATGCTCCTTCTCACATGCGCCACTGTGTGATGGTTCAGACATCCTATCTGGATCATCATGGTCCCCACTTTCTCAACACTGTCTTATTACCTAGTGGCAATTTTTATTCCTGCCTCACTTTTCAGATTTGGTTCATATTATGTCAGCTCAGCTATGACCTTAACCCTCTCAGAACTTAATCTGGCCCCAGATTCTGGGACCTGCACCCCAGGCTCATTTATTAATAGTTACATGGCCACTTGCCACTACCCCTAGATTTTCCTATCCCAGCACTGCTCTCTCTTGGGCTGTAAATATTCAATCTCACTAATCTATGACTCCAAGCCAGACTATACATGGTGTCTGTTGGAATACTCTCCATCTCTATAACAAGGCTCTTGCATACTATGGTAGGACTCCAAGGATGAGAGGCTTCCTCTTAGCTAGAAATCTAGAGTGTGCATCATTCAGAGACTTTGGGGGGAATCAAAACTCTAAAGAGTTGTATAGAATGCAGAAGCATAATGACCACATAGAACTGCAGGCACTGGTGAAGAAGTCTGAGCAAGGTATTTACCTTTGCTCCTGGTGTTTGATCTGAATCAACAGACCAAGAGTTGGGAAAGAAATCTAGACAGGAAGTTGGCAGAGCAAGGACAAACAGGAACCCATGAGGACAATGGAAAAACATGTTTCTCACTTGTTGCTCCCAATGTCAGTGATGTGATTGATCTGCAGGAAAGCTGGCACCTTTAGCATGCAGCTGCTCACTCACCTTCTGGGATTCAGAGGAGCCGGAATAGGATTTCCAGTAGGTGTTGGAGGAGCCAAAGGCCTGGATACTGTCTCAACTCAGCAAGCTGAGCTGCCAGATCAGTGACATTGTGTATGAATTGCCATGGTGTCCGATGGGCTCTACCAACTTTCAGGGTGTGAAAATAGCTGTTTCATACTCATGTTCAAATCTTATATATGTTTCTCTTGCTCCCACTTTAACCTGGAACCATAGAGGGAAGGGAACTCTGAAACATATGTCCAGTTTCCCTAAGTTGACAAGGAATTAAGTCATCACAGGTCATGGAATCTTAGTGCTGGGAAAGTGGATGTCAAATGAGGACCCTTTTGGGGAGAGCCAGAGAGGCTCCTGTTCACACAGAACAGTCTGGTCCTCATTTATTTTTTGGTGGTTGCTTTGGTTTTCTATAAACACTTGTAGCCCCTGACATCCGGTGTTCTATCTGCTATACTTTAGCACCTAGGGCAGTGACGGCGAACCTTTTACAACTTTCCATGATCCACACATGCCTAGGGGTTGGCTGGCATTCCCAGATAAGCTGTAGTGCTCTTCTCTTGAAAATAAATAATTTCACAGAATCCCAATATCATACAGGCTTATTCCATGACTGTGACAGATCAAGACACAAATGAGATCACCTCATATCTTGTGTAATAACAGACAAATCTCAGGGCACTATGCAGACCACATAAAGACAGCCATCCCTCTCTCCAATTCAACCTGAAAGACTCTTGCTTTTCTACCAATTATAGCTTTTCTACAAATAACAGCTTTTTCTACTAATTTGATGTACTTTATCTAGATAATATTTATTATGATGGCCATTTATGGAAACACTCCCACTTTCTGACAGCACTCAATCCAGAACGTAGCCATATTTCCCTGAAATCTCCCCTAAATCACTTTGAAACCCAAGTCCTGCAAGTTCTAACACATTCTTGATGAGACACTCCCAAGTTCACTCTTCTCCCTCACTGCAAGGAGGAATAAATCCAACTTGTCCAATTACATGTGTGTTTCTATCCATCAACAATGTATACATCAGGAAAAGAAAACTTGTATAAATATTAGAGTACTAAATTTATTGAAATATCATGAGATTGATAAAAATTATCTTTGGCTTCTATAAGAGGTGCTCAAAATGATGATCATTAGCTTACAAACATTTATGATTATGGCAAACGGGTGATGGTGATGAGTGTATACATTTTGGGGGTTGGGTTCTGTAAATGCATGTGTAGATTTTACTTAGCTTTTATGTACCATATGACAAAACTAAAATGATATATAAAATTTAAGTGTGATTTAAACAAGACCCTTTGGGAGTGGCCATGCGTATACATTTAGTGGACTTTCATGGGTAACAAAGTCGTCAACTAAGTCTGTATCTTCTCACATGAACTCCAGCAGGAATTGAGAAAAAGGTGCCATCCAAGGAGGATAGCATCTGCAGCTGACCTCACTCGCAGGGTAGTTGGAGCTTCAGCTAAGTCTTGGGAGTGACAGGAAGGAAGTAAAATATTATAATTAAGGAAAGAACTTGGAAAACACA